AAACGAATAGATAAAAGAAAAACGCGTTTAAACGACAAAAAGAAACGCGTTGGTTTTGAAACCTTTAACGCGTTTTTTGGTCGTTAAAAACGAAAAAAAACCGCGTTTTTTTGTCAATTTTTTTACCCCTGGGCTATCTGTGTCGTGAGCAAATCAAAATCCCACTGTGGATAATCTGATTTCATTTCACTTCATTTTTTTCGAATGCCTTTAACAACAATATTATCGTCGTTTTTAATTTCACTGCATTGATATAAACTAGCTTTATTTGTTAGTTCACTTGAACATGGACGTAGACAGTGTCTACGTCCATGTGATGCATACCATAGTCTAGTTCTGTCTCCAGGTAAAGTTGTATAGTTCAATTATTTTTCGTAATCTCTGTGCAATATCAGCAAGAATAGCTTTTGTTCAGCAGTGCATCATTCAAATTTTTGTTTCTTCCCACAGCACCGGTGGTTCGCTTTGACACTGTGTGTCCTAAATTTTAGGTACTATAGATAATAAACACAGTTGTAGTACAGGTCATCAACTACGTGCATTTGCTGGTACCAAACTTGAACTAACAAATAAAGCTAGTTTATATCAATGCAGTGAAATTAAAAACGACAATAATATTGTTGTTAAAGGCATTCGAAAAAAATGAAGTGAAATGAAATCAGATTATCCACAGTGGGATTTTGATTTTCTCACGACACAGATAGAATCTGATAGACTTAAAAGTAAATTTCTCTATGTCTAGGGAAAGATCGGTGGACGATTCTGTGATAGATTTCAAATGGAATTTATTCAAATGAATACACCACGGTCTAGAATTGAATCTTATCATTATACTTTACTATTAGACGCTTCAGGTTCTGTGAGAGAAGAATGGTGGAATAATTTAATTGCTGGTGTTAAAGCTTTAGTTAGTGCTCGATTGCTTAGTGCAGAAGAGGATCGTTTTACAATTATAATATTTAGCGGCAGTCCCACGTTGTTTTGCCTAATGTGACGATAAGAGATGTGGATGTAACAAAAATTAAATGCAGCGCAGGTAGAACAAATTTTGAATTAGCGTTTCAATTGGTCATTAATACCTTAGAAAGTGTTCAACAACAACCACAGATCCCTACATCAAATCTAGAATATATAATGGTGTTTATGAGTGATGGTGAAGCAACTTGTCCTGAAACTGAGTTGAATCGTTTACAAGCAATGAACGATGTACATATCAAAGAATTTTGGATCGTAAATGAACAGAAAATAGGTGTCTTAAAACGGATAAATATAATAATGAGTGGTACTTTCAAACAATTAAAAGATCCTGCTGAATTAATCCAAGTGTATGCAGAAATTGCACAAGGATAAACAACATAGAGCGACTTTTTTTTCTACAGAAATAATTTTATTAGAGTGCTTTCGCACTTTGTAAAGCTATAAAAGCGATAGAACATTGATGAATCTCATCCATTCCTTTTTGACAGATAGAGTTCTAAAATCTCTGCGAAACTCAGCGACAGACAAAAGCGGTTATTTAAGCACCAGAATTCAGCATAGTGGAAAATCTGAATGTGCTGTTTTGTCCGGTTCTGAAAGATCTTCAAATGCGATGCAACACCAGAATCTTTCATAGTAGAATTAAATTTTCTTTCAAAAACTCTGTACTACTGCAAACGTCGCTGAATTACGGATTTTTGGAGAATCTCACACTTTCGAATTCTTCGGCTCTCGGGGTTCAATAAAAGCTTTTACAATAGCAGTTTTCAGCGTAGGATCGATGTATACGAAAAAAGGTACATGTGAATTTGAATCATGTGAGAGGGATTGTCGATGCTGTCACTGAGCCTCAAAATGTAAAGTTTTGGGTGCGTTATAGATTTTAAACACACATACTTGATAGATAGAAAGGAAGAAATAAAATCAGACACTACATACACATATAAAACAAGCCCTATAAGAAACCTACCGTTCGTGCAAGAATATATGATATATTTAGGTATGCACAAGTACCAGTTAACTGGATACCAAACCGTTTGGCTACTCAGTAAAAACTAACCAGTCAATCAGTATAAGTACTAGTACTGGTACATGCCTAGATATATTAATACTTCCTTTACCTACACTTCAAAATTTGGAATAGCTCTCCATTTAAGAAGTGAAAATGGAGCATTTGCGCTGGCTGTTTTAGGTTTTATCAAATTGTTTTTTATTATAAAATTGTCTCGTATTAAACACTTGCTAGGTGGAAATGATGATCGATCTCTGACGTACTTCGCTCATACGACAATAAATCAGTCATTTCTTATTATTGAAATGTTTCCATTATTTCAAGAAATTGATTTACTTATTGCACGTTTGGAGAATGGGTTTGAATACGTTGAAAAGTTTACTATTTGTGAATTTGGTGAAGCACATCGAGGAACGGAAAAACCGTTGTACTGGAATTTAAGTCAGAATTGGAACATATTAGAGAAATATCAATTAAAAATTGCTTATTTGCCGTTTAAACAGTTTCCAAAACTCTATAAATTGTATCCAGCTCACTTAGTAGCTAATATTAAATTAAATGTAAACCGTCCATTTATAATCATGTGTATGGCTTTTTTAAGAACGAACAAGTTTTTTCATGCAAATCAGGCCGGTTTTCTCGAGGTCAGTCAACAATATCTCAGCTAATACGAATAATTCATCAGATAGCAGTATCATTTGATCAAGGGATACCTGTTCTCTCGACGTTTTTGGACTCCAGTAAGGCATTTGACAAACTCAACCACGATGCTTTGTTATACAAACTTCGCTGTGCTGGTTTCTTAGATGCCTTGCTAAAATGGTTTGAAAGCTACCTGACGAATTGTCGTATTGCCACAATGGTCGATGGTAGTACTTCGTGAGAACGTTTTTTATCAAGTTCAGTTCCGCAAGGCTCGGCTTTAGGACCTCTCCTTTTTATAGTTTATATTATTGCCTTGCCAAGTAGCGAGTGCTAATTTAAATTTTAAAATAGTTAAAATTTCAAATTTGAAAATTAACTTTTTTTTAAAAGCACATTTTATGCCAAATCTATGTCTCAAAAACCACGGTTGCCTAGAAACTCTACTTTCCAGCATTTTGGAAGAAACTTTCGGTTAGACAAAAGAAAGAGCCTGGTCTGAACCCCCTGCTCCTGGATTTTATGACGATAGTATGAGCTCATCAGGAGATAGAATTCTCATGTTAGAGGCTTATTAGTTGTTCCAAAATGTCATTCATCATCTCAAATTGAATTAATTTATTAAATTAAACATTCATCAACTCAAATTGAATTAATTGTTCAAATAAGATGAAACATAAATTATGGTCAAATAAGTATGAAAAAATTCAGGCAGTTTATATTAATATGAATGATGCTTGTCAACGATTACGAAACGACATTATTATTAATTATTAATTAGTATTCTAAGAATGGATGTCGATGATGCCAAAAATGAAATGATTGGCGAATGTCGTCAACAATATGCAAATAATCTAGAAGAAATTGAAAATATAAATGAATTTGAGATCAGATAAAGCCATATTAAACTTCAGTGGTGTTTCCGTTTCTTGCTTGTGCACATTTGTTGGAAACGTGAGGGTGTCAGTTTCTGACGTATTTTTGTAATCTCGTTCTCCAGCACACCATCTACCCTAAAAGGTGCTTTTTACAGACCCCGACAAGGAGCATATTCGAAAGTACTTAAAGAACTGCGTTCTCACTTTTGCTGCGCCTTTTTACGAATAGCAATAATAGCAGGAAAAGCAAAGTTCAGGCCGAAAAAAATACCAACTTTGGAAAGTTTTCATTTTTCTCGTCAATCGTATAATTTGCGTAGTTTTCTTGAGTGGAGTTCATTATCATTTTATTAAGACTTCTCTACTTACATTGTAAGCTCATACACACAACGTTTAAATGACAACCTTGAGCGTATGGTTCTTCGTTTTCAATTCAGCCAGATCTTGTGCTACTTTGTCTCCCGTTTTATTCCATTCGAGGTTGAGTGTAGTGAGTGCCTGTGTCAAATAATACACACCAATACGAGACAAATGAAGAGAAAATTTCTCTTACCGTGTTATTTGGTAATGCATCAGCCAGATGTTGTGCGCCTTTGTCTTCGATTTGATTGTCTGAGAGGTTGAGTGTGGTGAGTGTCTGTGCCAAATAAGAAACATCAATATGTGACAGATCAAGACAAAATTTCTCTCACTGTATTATTTTCTAATGTATCAGCCAGGTGTTGTGCCCATTTGCCTCCAATCTGATTGTCTGCGAGGATGAGTGTAGTGAGTGCCTGTGTGAAATAAGAAAAATCAATATGAGATAGATGAGGAGAGAATTTCTCTTACCGTGTTATTTGGTAATGCATCAGCCAGTTATTGTGCGCCTTTGTCTCCGATTTGATTGTCTGAGAGGTTGAGTGTGGTGAGTGTCTGTGCCAAATAAGAAACACTAATATAAGACAAATGATGAGAGAATTTCTCCCACCGTTTTATTTCGTAATGCATCAGCTAGATGTTGTGTCCCGACAGCTCAGATTATAGTGTCTCCCAGTGCAGTCAGGGTCTGTGGTAAATAAAAAGCACGAATGTGAGAGAGATGAATGAATGATGAGTGGAAGCATCTGACGTATTTTGCACGAGGATGAAAAGCTGTGACCGAATGACAGGCCAAGAAGGTGGAAAATATGAAACGTTCCTGCGATAGTGTATCCTATAATGTTCAATCAGATCCTGCTGCTTTACATTGGAGAGAACATAGGACAAACGCCCCTGCGAAAATTATCGTGGAATATCGCTGCAGGTAACATCTTTGCCAGTCGGTTCTAAATAGTCGGGATCCAAAGTATGCTCGATAAACAAGTATTGCAGCAACAAGGCTGGGTCTGTGCTAACAGATCGACGATAGATGAAATGCTTGTAGTAACTAGAGTAATGGAAGAAAGTCACGAAAAGAACAGACCACTGCATTGTGTTTAATTGATCTGCTAAACACTTGTGACTAAGTGAAGAGAGACATATTTTGGCAAATATGTCGAAGTTATGAAATGACTGAAAATATTGTTCGACTGATGAAGTTGAAAAATGTTCCAACGGTCTATATTTTGCATATATCTCATCAGTTCAGAAATATGACAAAATCTTGTTGTTGTTTTTAAAGTTTAGTGCTCTTTAAAAATTAAAAGAACATATCTCTACAGCTTTTCCGAAGGTTCTTATAGGTGACTAGAAGTATAGAAAACTGAGAAAAAGCAGACATGGGAGAAGGTAAAAGTTTGTCTCGAGATCTTTCTAGCTATGACAGATTTATACTGAATGCATGACTGAATATGTTAACTCTAGTCCTTTTTCCTACTTTTAGCTGTAAAGTATAAAACTAGGAAAGTATAATAAGAATAATAAGCTAAGATGATAGCTGTAGCCTTGTATGTAAGCTGAAAGCATCTCGGGACGAACCCTGTAACATATCCGATTTCTCAAAACAAACGTCTTGAACTGCGAGTTTAATTATTAGTAAAGATCGATTCATCGGTAGTTAGAACCTTATGAACAGTGATTGGTACAAAAGAATCAACAGGAACAAGATATGAAACGGGTAAAACAATTAATCAATTTAGCGGAGAAGCGGATTGAATGAAGTGTGAAACGATAAATAAATAACGGGAATCACATCGATTCATTAAGTCCATTGACTGTAAATCGGATGAATGTAGTGTCGGGAATATCATTTATTCTGTTGTAACTCGGCCTTGTTACTACAAGATTGATAGATATTTTTCGCGATGAGAACGCCCACATTTTCCATCTTAGTTTACAGAAGCAGTTGCTATAAGTTTTCACTATTCAGAAAAGTTTATCAAAATTTCTATAGTCACGAAACTTTGTAATTCGATGTTTTAATAATGTGTTTGTTGTTTTATCCGTCATACGGACGTTCGAAATGGACGTAATATTACCAAATCTATCAGTCTTCTTGCCCTTAATAACGAAACATAAGTGGGAGCAAGATTTCGGCTGGTTCGTGGAAACAACGCTTACACCGCCCTTCGGTCGATATTCGCTAGGGACTATCTACCATGCGTTATGAATATTTCTGTGATATGATGTGTCAGCTTCGCGAAATAGCTTCAATCTATACAAGTTTTCTCGAGAGTCCTCAAAGAACCCCGGAGGTCTAAAAATATTTTTGAATTGCAGACAATGCTCGTGCGTCCCTTCGGTCCGCGCTCGCAGCCAGGATAGGTGTTACACTTCTATGATACCACAGAAAACTCTAACGCATCA